TGGGCCAGTGTCAACCCTCACATAGTCCCTGAATAACTACTATCTGAATTAAATATACATATCAATTCTCTCCTACCCCACATCAGTACTATGTTTTAAAATAAATTAATTTAGATTTCAATGTTACTCACATCTTTGTTATTATGGACCCTAAAAGAAGTATTTCCAGCCTTATGTCATCCAGAGTCAGGATTTTAAGCTTAATAAGGCATGAAAGACTGTAACTACCAACAAAGCCTTCCCAACTTCTCCCCTCAAGAAAGCAGTTTAGTTTTCATCTCAATTTTTTATTCCAGATATAAGAGGAACAAAGAAAACCACATGCAGAAAGCATAAGAGAGTTCTCACCTGAATCCCATTTGTAGAACATGAACATTCTTGCATGGCTCCATTACCTCCAAAACATGTGACAAAACTGAAAGGCATATCTCATCATACTCATTGATACGTTCCTATTGAAATATAATTTCAAAAACACTACAGGTGATGAGCCCATAGTAAACTATCTCACCCAAGCAAAAACCCTGAACTGATGTACTGAATAAAAGGATTGAGTATCAAACCAACAATTCTTACAGTCAGTCCACAATAAACAGCATCTTTGGGAAATAAAAAGTCATACTTACTGAATTTTCCAGCTAACTGATACACATCCTTTTATGCATCAACACTTTTTTACCTTCACCATTATCACTGAAAACACATTTGATATTTATTATATTCCACTACTTCTGAAACAACTTTTATTAAACATTATTGTTACCTCTTCTTGTAACTCAAGGTCATCACAAAGGCAAAAACAGTTAAAGTGCAGGAATATAAGAACTACTGAGGTACAGCAGGTAACTAGCCCGTCTCTAAAGATCCTTAAATGGTTGTGCTCTTACAATTTCCCTAGATCCTTTCCTGGGTATCAAGCTGAAACTTTAGTTGTGAATCTTCTAATTCACATCTCCTGCCACATTCTACCACCGCTATCCGAGTCTCAAGGGAAGCTTATACCCCACGGATTCTTCTTTCAGGTCCCTTTACTTAGGGTACTAAGTTTGATTCTAGAAATAATAGTGGGCATAATTTGGAAAGTGAATAGTAACAACACAGCTTAACTAGTAGTACTGTACAGTTTAATCACAACTAGTCTATACACCTCACAAAAGATCACATCTGAGGAAACTTAGCCTGAAGAGAGAGATGTTCTTTTGCTAACATTACATAACCAGCAAATCACAAAGTCTTAAGTCAGAACCAGGTAATAAGAAATGGTTATCGTTAGAAGAAAAAAAAGGTTTCTTTCCTATGAAAGGGTTTCCTTAACAATTTTACAGCATTCCATCAATATCTACTATGAAAGACCACTTGTCTATGTGTTTGAAGGGCAAATTCACTGATGGCACACTGTCCTTTCACCTCTAAAATGTCTTTACATTATTCCAACAGGTCAGTGAGACACCATCATCCATACAGATGTTTTGACTACAAAAACCTGCTACTCATACCTCACCAACAAAGATGTCATCCCGATGCGAATATCCGTCCAAAATCTAGTAAGAGTATCACTGACCAGGTAAGGTGATTTATTATAGTCACTTTTAAATAACTACATAGGAACTAATATACAGCCTACAAATAAACAGGGATATTCTGTGGTCTAAACAAATACACACACATACATACTAAATAAAAATTAGTCCTTGAGGACATATGGAAATCACAGTAATGTAAAAAGTTAAAAACTTTCCCATAGCTATGAACCCAATTCTTGAATTCTATAGCAAGATAGGATATATGCTAGATTATCCCCAAGAAATTCCTGTCTTTTTTTTTTTTTTTTTTTTGAGACGGAGTCTCGCTCTGTCGCCCAGGCTGGAGTGCAGTGGCCGGATCTCAGCTCACTGCAAGCTCCACCTCCCGGGTTTACGCCATTCTGAAATTCCTGTCTTTTAAAAAATTATTATTATTATTTTCAGACAGGGTCTGGTTCTGTCACCCAATCATGGCTCATGGCAACTTCAACCTCCCAGGCTCAAGCGATACTCCCACCTCAGCCTCCAAAGTAGCTGGGACCACAGGCGAGTACATCATACCCAGCTAATTTTTGTATTTTTTGTAGAGATGGAGTCTCCCTGTGTTGCCCAGGTTGGTCTCAGACTCCTGGGCTCAAGAGATCCTCCTGCCTTGGCCTCTCAAAGTGCTGGGATTACAGGCATGAGCCACCACACCTAGCTAAAAAATTACTTCATTAACATTGAGTTTATAAGTCAGCAGTGTACTCTTAAAACATAAATGATTAACAAGCTAATCCTTCCTTCCTTACATTTGGCACCATTTCAGTGACATTAAACAGGACACTGGCATTCCTGCTTTAGACTAAAAATGGCTCCCTCCATCCAATTTCAACCTTCTTCCAATCCATTTTCCACTCACTCAGTGATCTAAAATACAAATTTGAGCACGTCAACCCATTGCTTAAAATTCTTCAACGGACTCCCATTGCCTACTGGATGAATGCACACTCCTTAGCTAGCCGTAAGAGGCTCTTTATGATTTGGTTCCTATTTTTCTAGCCTCTTGTTCTGCCCCAAGCCCCTTGCCCCTCACTCCTCGCCTTTGATCACCATATACAAAACTTGTTCCCACCCCCACAAACATACAACTCCATCATTCTGTGCTTCAGCTACACCAAACTACTTTCAGCTCTTCAAATTCGCCAAACTTTTCCTCTGGGAATCGTAGGGCATGCAATCCTCTCTACTTGAAACACCATCCTCTTCACTTCATTCTGCTTATCAGTCTGGGCATCATCTACTGGGCCTGAATCCCAATTCTACCATGGACTACATTCTCTTCTTTCCCCTTCCCTTCTCTCCTTCTTCAACTACCCAGGCTTTCTTTGTATATCTTGCATCTCTCCTCATTTTAGTTTCTTCACCACTACTCAACCCTGGGGATGGTAAATGGGGAAGGCTTTCATAAATTTCCATAGCAAAAGGAAGAAAATAACTAGCTAACTTAAGGCCTCTAAATCATATAATATATGTGCAGAAATAAATATAAAGGAAACTACCATTCGATAGTCTCTTTTAAGGAGGCTACATATCTATTTCCCTTCATTCTTTCAAAATATTCTAAACCAAGTAAATGCATGAAATCTCCTTTTTATTTTACCTGGGTCACCCTCAGCAAAGTCTGTACCAAAAGAGTGTTCTGAGGGATTCCAAGCTTCACTATGGAGTAAAGACTGAACAGTAGGTACTTATACTGTATGATCTTGGCTTCTCTCATCATATGTTCACAGAGCTGATTAAATGCAGGGTGGCTAAACATCAGTCGTTTTTCAAAGCGCTTCTGGTCATCAGACAGTCTTTTGGCAATTGTCCACATTGCTGTGAAATAGTTGCTACTAGGAAATGTAGGCGCTTTTGTAAATGCATCTAACACATCACTCAGCGAATTACATTCCTCAGACAGTTTTCTACTGCTGATACGGTTTGGTTTTGTTTCCTTGGTAAGAACATCTTCACTGGAGACTTCATGATGAAGGTTTACTTTCTTCAATTCACCATTAAATTTATCAACAGAGACAAGAGAATGCTTTGAGTCAAAAAACAGTCTTTTAGCATAAAGCAGTCTGTCAATTCTAAGGGCGGTTACAGTGCTTATGCCCCTTGTTTGAAAGCCAACATCTGATTTTAAAATGAATGCATCCTGAAAGAGATATCTAAAGATATCAGTTGATCGCATTCTGTTATGAAAGTTATTTAAAACGTTCCAGTTTGAATGAACTATTTTTGGTTTGCAAAGTCCCAAAGGATATAGCCTCATAGTTCTGCTTGTTGGAACTAATGTACTGAATTGTCTAAGGTTCCATAAAAAGGAGCCTGCTTTGTTATTCATTTTGCTCTCCACTGAAACACTTCCAAACGGCTTTAATGTTGTCAATATGAAACCAACGTCGCTTCTACTAGTGAAAAAGAACACGTGCTGTGATTTTTCCTGTAGGGGAAGAAGTAATTAAAAGAATAAAAACTAAAACAAAACTTTTACTTAAAGATATGAAATGCATTTAACAGAAGAGAAAATGGGGAACCTATGGGGCCATTAAAGATTTACATAAAACGGTAAAAGTATTTTTATCAAAATGGTCTCCCTCCAATCTACCACAATGTGTCCGGTTTCAAAGAAGCCAGCTCACTTTGGAAGTAGTTATTGTATTAATGAGATTTTTCTGGTGTAAAAGCGTTCCATAAAGCTTTCTCTATAGGAGAGATTTTTGTGGCATTGTTATGGAAATGTCCTTAGTGAAAATTACGGTATCAACATTGATAGATCATTTTCTTTTTTCTTTTTCTTTCTTTTCTTTTTTTTTTTTTGAGACAGAGTCTTGCTCTGTTGCCCAGGCTGGAATGCAGTGGCGCGATCTTGGCTCACTGCAACCTGCACCTCCCAGGTTCAAGCAATTCTCCTGTCTCAGCCTCCCAAGTAAGCTGGGATTACAGGCGTGTGCCACCACGTCCGGCTAATTTTTGTGTTTTTTGTAGAGACGGAGTTTCACCATGTTGGTCAGGCTGGTCCTGAACTCCTGACCTCAGGTGATCCACCCGCCTCGGCCTCCCAAAGTGCTGGGATTACAGGCGTGAGTCACCGCGACCGGCCGATAGATCATTTTCAACAAGACGATTTAGCAACGGCCGAACCCAGATTATCAAGGATAGGACTTGGGCAGGTAGAACGGCTCAGTAGAAGAAGCAGAAAACGAAAGCGATGTCTGCATGTGGCCTGCGCTCAGGACCAAGATCTTGTACAACCAGCCAGCCTCACCAGACCCCAGAACCAACTTCAAGAGCCTTTCCTTCCGCAGCTGGGCCGCCCAGCATTAACCCACCTCCTTTAAACTTAATTTTGGGACAACTCCTGAGATCTTTCTCCGCGAAGTAAAAAGTCTAGGATGTGATACGGGCAGCCGCTCAGCCCATGCTCGTCCCCCACTCACCTTAGAGTACAACCCCGTGGCTACGTACAGGAGCGGCCATGACAGCGTCCCCGAGAAGCTGCGCGTCTCACGAGATCTTACGGATTCCCTCAAAGGTCAAAAAGCATACGTTCGCGGCTGTAGCTGAAGGACATACTTAGAAGAAAGCTTACAGAAGAGAATGACTAGGGGGATCGGCGATACCACAGAGCTTATAAGGGCGATGTTTGATCGTGTATCGCAAGGTAACTCATTCAAGTCCTAACTTTATAAACACCTAACTTCTGCTGGGCTCCAGATTTCGTAGTGCGCCTGCGCCTTGCCCTTGGCTGCGTGGTTGCCAGGAAACCGCGAAGCCGCGGTCCCTGCCTCCGAGTCTCTCTCCACCATGGCCAAATTCGTCATTGCGGGTGAGTAATCCCCGCGTCCGCCCGCAGATTGCTCAAAACGCCGACAACAGCTCACCTCCCATGGCCACTTGGCGTGGCAGCCTCTATACGTACAGCTCCATGCGTTGCTGTGGATTTATTCAAAGTTATTTACTGGCCCGTCACGGTGCGCCAAGCACTGTGGGACACTGGGGATGCAATGCAGGGAAACATATCCCTGCCTTCGAGGAGCTTTCAATCTCATGGGGCACAGAACATGTACTTTTGATACGGTGTGATTAATGCAATGAAGGAGACCTGCACAGGCCTCTGGGAGCGAAGACTCCTAATCTGGGTTTGGGGGATGAGGGAGAGGTGGACACAAGGAACTGGCTGGGGAACGTAGGAGCTGAGTTGTGAAGGTGTGAGCTGAGGAGGCTATTCCAGATAAAAGCAGAGAGGCTGGAAGCCTCCTGGCCTAACAGAAGATCTGGATATGTGGGGCGTGACAGGACCAGGGGCTACAACAGGAGCGGGAGCCAGGTCCTTGCATTTCGTGTACATCAAGCAAAGGTGTTTGAACTATATCCTGAAAGCAATGAGGAATTATAGAAAAATTTTAAGCAGGAGAGTAGTCTTAATGAGTTTGCATTTTAGGAAGCCTGTTTTGGCAGCAATGGAGAGAATGATTGAAAGTGCTGGTTGACAGCAAGGACTCAACTGAGAAGGCTTTTATTACAGCAATCCGTGGTACCTGCCTCCTCTCCTCATAAAGTTTCTTAAAAGAGTAGAGTGCTCTTCCATCTCCAGTTATGCCTTCCAGTCAATCTTGGAAGAAGGCTTCTACTTCTGCTTCCTGGCAGAAACTCTGTCACCAAAGTCACCACTGAGTTTTATAGAAGCTGTTTGGTCTTTGACTTATTTGATCTCTTTGATACATTGAACACAATTGACATCTACCATCCGCAGAAGTTTTTTTTTGTTTTTTTGGGTTTTTTTTTTTGTTTTTTTGTTTTTTTGTTTTTTTGTTTTTTTGTTTTTTGATACCGGATCTCACTTTGTCACCCAGGCTGGACTGCAATGGCACAATCATGGCTCACTGCAGCTTTGACCTCCTGGGCTCAAGTGATCCTCCCACCTCAGCCTCCCAAGTAGCTGGGACTACAGGCATGCACCAGCATGCCCAGCTAATTTTTGTATTTTTGTAGACATTTTGTCATGTTGCCCACGCTGGTCTTGAACTCCTACACTCAAGCGATTTGCCCGCCTTGACCTCCCAAAGTGCCAAGATTACAGGCACGCGCCACCGCACCTGGCCCAGAAGAATGTTTTTGAACACTGATTAACTGTATGGTGGGAAGTCAGTGGAAAACACACTTACAGAGAATGTTGCATGTATGACATTGGCAGGGCAGGGTTCTATAGGAACGATAGCAGGGGACCTTACTTAATTAGGTAAGGGCTTCCCAGAGGGAGAGATTTTAAGCAGATACCTGAAAGATGATAATGAATTACCTAACAGAGAAGAGGTAGAAAGGAGGGGAGCAATTTAGGTATGGGTAACTGGGAGTGGGGTTACAGCAAGGAGAACTGGTTTGGTGATAATTGAGAATATAAAATAAGCATAAAATTGAAATAAGTTTATTAGGACTGAAGCAAATAGTACAAGGAAGAGAATGTCATAAGGTGAGGCTAGAGTTAGATAATATAGATTCTTTTGAGTCACATTCATTAGTTTAGACTTTATTCAGAGTACATGAAATGTTTTTGGAAGGGGAGGAGGGCCTAATCAAATTTGAATTTTATCTGAATGTTATGACTATAGTGTGGGGGAAAAGGACTGGATGCCAAGAGACCAGTTAGGAGAATAGTGCTATAGTCCAGGAGGGAGTTGATGGTGACCTCGCCTAGAGTGGCAAACAATGGAGATGGGGAGAAGTGAATGGATTGGAGAGATATTAGGGAGGCAGAATCTATAGAACTGGATGTCTGATTGAGTGGAGGAGAGCAGATAAGGGAGAAAAATGAGTTAAACATTGTTCCCAAGCAGATGTTTGAATAACTGCAGAGATTAGGAGTCACTGAAAAAAACAAAAAAGTGGAAGAGTAGGCTTAATACTCTAGATACTCTTACTACTCTTAGATAATTAGGGAAATGAACGTAAAAAATATAAGCGACTAAGTAAATTTAGTACGGTAATGGTGAAAAACTACATCATAGACCATCTGAGTGTGTATGAGACATTTTGAAGGAGATGGGAAAATACAGGAGGGTGTAGGCATCTAGATAAGGAGATAGATCTGAGCTGGAAATATAGATTGCTACTTGAAGCCAAGGGAATGAAGCAGATTGGCCAAAAAGAATATATAAGACATAAAGACAAGATGCTTCTCAGAATGATACCTTTTAATGGGTTGTTAAAGGAATGGAAAACTACAAAGGATAGAAAGGAGTAACCAGAGAAGTAGGAGAACCTGAAGAATGCCCCCACCATGGCAGGTGTTTCAAAAGGTTGGAAGGGGGCAGTAGTGGCAGATGCTGCCAAGGGTCAACAAGAAAAGGATCAGAAAGTATCTGTTGGATTTAGTGGCATGGAAGTCCTTGGTGACCTTCAAGAGAATTGTGGGGTGTGCTACATTGCAGTGGATGAGAAATAAATGGAAGTGAAAAACTGAGGATGGCAAGTATAGAGAACTCTTTCAAGATAGTTTGATCAAAAAGGACATATGAAAGGCAATAGCTAGAGGTGGAGATGAGTTTTTTGTCTCTTAGGACAGGAGGAACATAATGAGTATATTTAAATATGACAGAAAGGGACTATTGGAAACAGATACAAGACTCTAGAAAGAGAGGATAATTAAGCAAGGCTCCTGAGAAGGCAGATGAGGGTGGGATTCAGAGCATAAGTGGTGGGATTAGATTAGACAGATGGAACTCCTCTTCCATTGAAATGAAGAAAGGAGGAAAGGATGAGTCCAAAAGCAGACAGGCATGTAGATGTGATGGAGGAGGTTGGAGGTTTTCCAAACTAATGCCGTTTTGTTTTGTTTGGATTGGTTTTTGTAAAGTAGAAAGCAAAGTTGTTTGTTGTGTTCTGATAATACAGAATAATGTTGGGGAGAAGGAAAAGATTTGCAGGAAGAGGAAAAAGTTTGGAATAGTAATTGTAGAGAACAGAAGAGAATGCTGATAAGGGAAACAAAGGGATCTCCACGCAGGGTTGAGGGCCAATTAAAGCTGGTGACGATGAATTTTAAAGGTGCCCTGTGCTTGGTTCTACCATGTTTCTGTAGTGGTGCCTAGCAGGTAGGACCCAGCTACAGAAAAGGCAAGTAATTGAGTTCATCCAAGATGAGGGGCTTTTATCAGGCTCATTTCCCAAAAGGATAGTGGGGAGAGATAATTTAAGACATCGACCAGAAAGTGGTTTGAAGAAATGAACCATAGATTTGAACTGGACAGGGCGGCTGATAGACAGGGGTCACTTCAGACAGGTTGATAACTTAGGAGTTTCCATGAGGCCAAGGAACTGGTGACTAGGAGTTACTGAGGAAGAATGCTACAGAGAGGGCTCTGCATTTTGCCCCATCCCTCCTGCTCTATCAGATGCCCAATTCCATCTGGTGTAGTGGCTTTAACTTCCTGGGTGTTGATGGCTACAAACTGTGTGTCTGAAACCCTTACATGGCACCTGCACCTACATATATATATATATAGCTACTTGCTGATCATATCCACTTAGACATACTACAAATACCTCCAACTGCACTTGACTAAAGTTAAATTTCTCATTCATGATTTCTCTCTAGTTAAGGTCAGTATCATCTGCCCAAGCCAGAAAATAGAAGTTATCCCAGATTCATCTTTCCCATCCCCACAACTTCCTGACACGCATCAAATCCAAAAGTGATTTTACCACCACTCCTTACTTCAAACTTTACCTTTTGGTGGCCATTAGTGAGTAGTTCATTATCAGCACTAATTCACACTGAATTAGTAGTAGTTAGCAGCCTCCTAGAGGAAGTGAGGTCCAGCATATTACTAGAAGAGAATAAATATTCAGTAGGGTTTTTTTTTTCTTTCCACATTTTATTACTTAAGATTCTGACCTCCTATGAAGTTTATTTTATTTGTATTAATCTAATAAACATCAGAAGTTTATGTCATAGCAGTTTCAGTTTATACTACAACTTTATGTTACTAAATTATATCATAACTATGACTAATTCTGTAATTACATAGCAAATACTTAGAACTACATAATAATTTATGCATGATGAAAGAAAACATTGCTAATTTGAACTCTTTTAGGTAGAGCAGATTGTCCATATTATGCTAAAACAGAACTTCTGGCAGACTATTTACAAAAGAATCTTCCTGATTTTCGGATACATAAAATCACACAACGTCCTGAGGTTTGGGAGGTAAGAAGCCTTTATAGTTTGTTGAACTCACTCATGCACAAAATGTGTTTCAATTTGATTAAATATTAGCTAGTGTATTAGATTGGCTTCTAGTAATGACTGTTCATGTACAAGTGATATTTGAATACTAGTAAAACAAGTCCCTACTTACCAGTCTCAAAATAATGTTTATGTTTTTCCCTAATACCTAGTAGTACAAATGAGACTCTAATCAATAAGTGGATGAGTTTGGCCGCACCCCCTGAAGAATCCAGGTAGCTTACACTGCACTTGCTAACTTTTCATTCTCCTTGGTATTGATTTCCAATGACTTCTTTGGGATACCCTTCTTTGGGATACCCTTCTTTGGGACTCTGTTTCCCCAGAAACAGACTTTGAGATGTAGATTTTGGTGAAGGGTCTTTACTGGGAAGTGGTCTTGGGAACAGCATCCTGAAATGGAATGAGGGCGGCAGGATTGGGTAAAGGAACAAGTTGAACTTCGACATAGCTGCAACAGAGGGCTCAGCGGATCCCACAGTGAACTCTTTATGGCCTTTCAGAGGTATTCCAAACTGAGGCAAGGTAGTTGAGCTTTTGTGCTCCCTCCTCAACCAGCCATTGGATATCAGCTGCCCCTGAGAAGGAACTTAACCTTAGGCAAGGCAATTTTCTTTGGTTGAAGTCAATTCCTAGAGAGAGAATGGAGTCAGACTTTAAGTTATCAGCCTCTAATACGCCGGGTGCCTGAGAGAGTGAGTGCCTCATTTGTGAAGGGGGAACCTGGAGTGTACATGACAGCACTGGCTACAGTCCACCTGTTGTGCCTTTTGGATCCACATGCTCCCTATAATCAGTTCACACCGTCTTGGAACAGCTCCTTGGATTCTGGTTGCCATCTTTCCCTGGGGAAACTTTACAAGAGAAAGGTTAGTCAAATGAACTATAGTCTCCACTGCTCATAATTTCAGGGACAAACCAACAGTCATCACCTCTTTTCTCTCCCTCTCTTCTCTACCATCCATTGTAGATTTCCCTCACTCTCTGCTGGTCTGGTCTTCAGCTAAGTTATCTCGTCTGCTGGGTTGTTTAGTGCTTCTGTCACAATAAATGTTCTCTGGTTGGCACTGCCCACTGGCCTCTATTATTTCAGGATTTTATCATCTCAATTGCCAGGGAGTTCAGGTGTGTAGTAGCATGTCCTTTAACAGCTTTGGCCACAATCATATGAGAAAATGCTCAACATTGCAGGTTATTAGAGGAATGCAAATCAAAACCACAATGAGATTCCATCTCATACCAGTCAGAATGACTGTTATTTAAAAGTCAAAAAATAACAGATGCTGGTGAAGTTGTGGAGAAAAAGGAACACTTATACACTATTGGTGGAAGCATAGAAAGATAGAAATAACAATCAACCCAGAAATCCCATTACTGTGTATATACCCCCCAGAATATAAATCATTCTTTTATAAAGACACATGCAGACATATGTTCATTGCAACACTATTCACAATAGCAAAGACATGCAATCAACCTAAATGCCTATCAATGATAGACGGGAGAAAGAAAATGTGGTACATATACATCATGAAATACTACACAGCCATAAAAAGGAATGAGATCATGTCCTTTGCGGGGACATGGATGGAGCTAGAGATCATTATCCTTAGCAAAGTAATACAGGAACAGAAAACCAAATACCACATATTCTCACTTATAAGTGGGGGCTAAATGAGGAAAACATCTGGACACAGGAAGAGAAAAAACACACACTAAGGCCAATCGGAAGGTAGAGAGTGGGAGGAGGGAGAGGATCAGGAAAAATAACTAATCGGCACTAGGCTGAATACCTGGGTGATGAAATAATTTGTACAACAAACCCCATGACACAAATTTACCTATGTAACAAACCTGCACTTGTACCCCTGAACTTAAAATAGAAGTTTAAAAAAAAAAACAGCCTTGGCTTAGAACGGACAGCCACACTGGGCTTCTCAGTGACACTGGGACCCCTCTCGCCAGTGCATTCCTTATCACTTAGGTGCATGTTGTATCCTGCAGTCCCTTCCAGAGAACATGGTTGAATGGTGGGCTTTCTAGCCTTCCGTAATACCACGTTCACTAGTCTTGTTTTTTTTTTTTAATTTATTTATTTTTTTTGAGACGGAGTTTCGCTCTTGTCACCCAGGCTAGAGTGCAGTGGTGCAATCTCAGCTCTCTGCAACCTCCGCCTCCCAGGTTCAAGCAATTCTCCTGCCTCAGCCTCCTGAGTAGCTGGGATTACAGGCACCCACCACCACGCCCAGCTAATTTTTATATTTTTAGTAGAGATGGAGTTTCACCATGTTGACCAGGCTTGTCTCGAACTCCTGACCTCAGATGTTCCCTCCGCCTCGGCCTCCCAAAGTGCTGGGATTACAGGCGTGAGCCACCGCACCCGGCATCACTAGTCTTTTGATCCATTCTTCTACTGTCTTCCATGAAGTCTGGCATTTCTATTTTATTTAATTACCTTCTCCAAGTTTCTAAGAGCCAGTCTGGCAACATGTTGTCCCTGTCTTCTGAGGTCCTTGCCAGGGTATACACTCTTGAACTGCAGAAAAGTGATTCATACTAATGAATTCTCCCTTGTCTAACTTCATGTTCCACTCTTGATTCAGCACTGTAAGGGTCCAGTCCTTTACACACACTCGCAGCTCCTGCTGGGACATTAACATGCTCTGCAGGGTGCGGAAGGTTTTTTGGGGTAATGTTTCTTTCCTTCATAGGCCCAGTACTTCATTGGTCTGGCTATGCTGTGGCTAGAGGGGCCATGCTGGAATCCTCATAGCAGCACTGTTTGCTTTAAGTGAGATAAAGGCAGGCATATCTTCAATATCAGCAAGGAAATTAGTTTCCAGGATTTTATTGGTAAGGTGGCCTCATTACCCATGCCTCCAATGACATGGTTTTTAAGACTGCTGCTGGCCGGGCACGGTGGCTCACGCCTGTAATCCCAGCACTTTGGGAGGCCGAGGCGGGCGGATCACGAGGTCAGGAGATCGAGACCATCCTGGCTAACACGGTGAAACCCCGTCTCTACTAAAAATGCAAAAAATTAGCCGGGCGAGGCGGCGGGCGCCTGTAGTCCCAGCTACTCGGGAGGCTGAGGCAGGAGAATGGCGTGAACCCGGGAGGCGGAGCTTGCAGTGAGCCGAGATCGCGCCACTGCACTCCAGCCTGGGCGACTAAGCGAAAAAAAAAAAAAAAGACTGCTGCCATGTACTTAGCTGATAAAAATGTTGCTGTTTGACTCTACTCAGATCTTGTCATTGGAAGGCCTAGCCTATACAAACCAGATAATGATAATATAAACTTTTTCTGATAAATATTATCGGAAATCTCCAGATAACTTTTAGCTTGTTAATTTAGTCTGAACTACATAAACCACATTCACAGATTTGAAAAACAGTATCAAATGTTATATGCCCCTAAGACTGGAAATATTGCATGTGTAGAAGAATAAGGGCAAAACTAGTTGAATTTTGTAAAAAATCAGTTGAGTTGGAACATGTAACCTCTCTTTAAGCTAAACACTTGCATTCCAGATCTCCTCAGCAAAAAGAGCAACTTTCAGTACCTTTATTTGGTCAATTAATTTGAAGAATATGCTTTTTGATCTAATTAATCTGCTACTAACATCATCACTATTTTCTATATTTACATTTTAGTCTTTAAAGATATCTAAATTATATTATATATATGTAGTGACATTAAAAACAACCTGGTATTTTAATGTTTGAATTCTAAAGTATTAAATTGAATTCCCAGGCAGAGTTAATATATGACTTCACTTGGAATATCATTCAACAGGATTGGCTAAAAGATGTGTGTGAAAAGAATAAGTGGAGTCACAAGAATTCCCCTATCATATGGAGAGAGCTGTTGGATCGTGGAGGAAAGGGTTTGCTTTTGGGAGGATATAATGAGTTCCTGGAGCATGCCCAGGTATATAAGTTAACTTGACTTATCTGTTCTAACAATGATAATTCTCTTACATTATTTTATTTTTCAATTATCTTGCTTTCTGAGACATTCTCTCATGTCTCTTTTTATTGTATTTTGACTTTAAACAAAAACTTTCCATTATAGCCAATTTCAACTAGTTATCTATTCTCTCATGTTGACTTTTTCTCTCCCAATATTTAGCTTTACTATGATGTCACCTCTAGCATGACGACTGAGTTGATGATGGTAATTGCTCAAGAGAACCTGGGGGCACATATACAAAAAGAGCAGGAGGAAGAAGGCCTGAAAACTTGCATCAACCCCTTGCAGGTCTGGATCACCAGGTAGGACAGTCAAATCCCAGGATTCACGAGATTGACTTTTTATATTTAGAAAGGACAATGAGGTGGGATTAATTTCATGATGGAAGAATAGCTGAATGTGTGTGTATACTTATATGTATACACATATACATATGCCTCTGTGTGTGTGTGTGTATGTGTGTGTGTGTTTGTATTCTCCATATAACTCATAAATGAGTTTTAGGTTTTACAGACACACACACACGCATATACTTGGTCTAAAAACAACTCTATAGCATGGCTGCTTTGCAGAAGCTCACCCTTTCTGACTGTTGCTCTCTCCCTCTTTCCCACTTGCTAGAGCTTTGTTTGGCTTTTCTCTATGCATCCACTCCCTCTCTGTAACCCCACTCCCCTCACCTTGCTCCCTTTTGCTTTTCTCCTTCTCATGTGTGCTCCTCTTTGCTCCCAGTCTGGGTACATGCAGTCCTTGTTGTCACACTCTCTTTCTCTGCACTGTCACTCTGTCTCTCTTGCTCTCTGTCTCCCACCCCCTCTCCTTTTCTCACCCCTCAGTTTGTCTTTTGCACTTTCCTGCTCATACGTACGTATGTATCCTAATATATACACTCATTTTTAAAATTGTTATTATGAAATATTTTAAATACAGAAAGGAATTGAGAATGATGTAATAAACATCCATGATCCTATCACCCAGATTTAATAACTATCACATCTTCTTTAGATGTTTCAAAGGATTAAATCGGTACAGATACTGTTGAAACCCCCGTTGTACACCTCCCGAAACCCACTGTGAATACCAGAAATGCCCAGATACGTTTCTGAACTTCCCGTGGTGGGCATTACAGTTCACAGTTGATAGTCACAGCTGTAGACAACTGCAGAATTGTGGCTACAGATACACCTTACATAGCCTGTGTTGATCCCAGCCATCTTTGTAAGGATTTTTCTGTGTAAGAATTTGGAAAAGGTAGCCCTTTCCAAAAAAAAAAAAAAAAAGTCATTATTGTGTAGATGAGGTTGTATTTTTTTAAAAAGAGCTATGGCTAACTGAAACTTTTATCTTTATCTTTTTAGGAGGAAATATAAACACGTAATTACAGCAATATAATACAGTTTTTTTCTTTTGATTTCTGTATAGGGGGAATTCTGTTTTCTTTGAAAAAAATAAAAAAACCTAATGAACAGGTGTATTTATTATTTGGGGACTGATTTCAGATGGTCAGAGCAAGGGATTGGTAGTGAGAAGTTTTTGTTCTACTTTTGACTTCTAGCCTTAAAATGTCAATGCAGCTGTGTGTGTGCTTATTTAAATATTAAACCACCCTATTGATGCACATGCAGAAATATCTATTAAGAATAAAGGCTTAAAAGGGACAAAGGATGTAACTATTCACAGTCCAGCTTTGCATTTTTATCAGTGCCTCTGCTCCTGCCTGCTACAACCTAATTCCCATATTGACGAGTGGCGAAGTGTTTGGGATGCATACAGAAATTAGCATAACTCTATTTGACAACAAGCAGGCAGAAGAATATCTCAAAAGCCTTGTGATGGAGACCCAGGACCTGGCGTCACCCGTCCTGCGCAGTGTCTCCATCTGCACGAAGGTGGAGGAGGCCTTCTGCCAGGCCCACGTCGTTGTGGTGCTGGACGATAGCACCGACAAGGAGGTGTTCACTCTGGAGGACTGTCTCCGAAGCAGGGTGCCTCTGTGCAGGCTCTACGGGTACCTGATAGAGAAAAATGCTCATGAGTCCGTCAGAGTCATCGTGGGAGGGAAAACCTTTGTGAACCTGAAGACAGTTTTACTCATGAGATATGCCCCACGCATCGCACACAACATTATTGCCGTGGCACTGGGGGTGGAAGGTGAAGCGAAAGCCATACTGGCCAGAAAATTGAAGACAGCTCCTTCATGTGAGTGAACGTCTCTTTATGTTTTTGTTTTTATTTTGAAGCAACATTTCAAAGCAGCTAGGAAGAACACTGTCCCCTCTAGGAACATTCTGAGTATCTGGAATAGGAAGTATAAAACAGGCATAAAGAAGTTATTGCGTGATTTGACTACTGTGCAAATGTTGTTTTTTTGTTTTTTTGTTTTTTACTGGCTTTTTCCATCATTATAAAAATCAATAAATGTTTAATACAATACAATTTATATTATGCAGGTGATAATTTGACACATCGTATTCCATTTTTTCCCATAATAATAGTCAATTAAGGTAACCAGTGTTTAAAAGAAAATCAAAGCTATGTGCAAGTGGCTCTGCCCCACTTCCCACTCATATGACCTTGAGCCGTCATTTAGTCTTTTCGGTGCATTGGTTTCCTCATCTGTAAAATGAGGATATTAACAGTGCCTATCTCCTAGAATTGATGTGAGGATTCGGTGAGATGTATTCCTAAAGTGCTTAGAAGAGTGTATGGCACATAATAAACATTTCCAAGGATGTTAAGCTTATTAATAGGATTACGATATCTGATCAGTTTCTGCTCCTATTAATCTTTGAACTGGTAAATATCAGAATCATATGAAGATGAGAAGATGAGACTAGATCAGAAAATTGATTGTTGCATTTGAAAAGGGAGATAATTTTGGACATATTTTAGCTACTTTTGCCCTTAGATGGAGCAGGTACAACAGTGTCCATTGAGAAGGGAAGGAGATGCTAGGCATTCTCTCAAGCAAAATTGGAAAGACAATGAAATGTGAGCCTAGAATGTTCCCAGTCAGGACAAAAAAGGCTTCAGTGAACCCCTAACATTATAGCCAGAGCTGTGTTTTCTTTTTTGTATCAATGAAACTCTGTAAATAATAATTTCTGGTATTCTTGCATACATATCTTTAGTATTTTATCCCCACAATCACTAAAACACTCAACCAAATTGATGCTAAAATTATTCAAAAGGAAATGAAAACTTTTTTTCTATATTATCTCTGTCATCAACCTTATAATTACATTTGTAGACAGTGACTTATCACAGAAAGTCTATAATACACTACTGAAAAGTATCAAGAAGAATCTAAAACAAAGTATATGTGTGGGTTAGGGGGTTCAGGGGGTTGGGGGCTTTCAGCCAGAAAGCTGCTGTCTTGTGGGTCTGCTGGTGCCATGACTCTAAGCTCCACTCTACTCAAATCCAATAAGCATGTGAGAAGCAGAAAAAAGAAAAATAGAGGAAAGTTGGTAAAAGGAAAAAGGCATTAGAGGGACAGTAGTCCAAGTAGAATTGTCAGTGAGGCAGCAAGGAGACAGCCAGCAATGACCAAAGTTGAGCAAAACATCATGAAAGAGAAAAGCCACCAAGGAAATTATTCAGGGATTATTTGAGATGCCAAGAGGGTGGCAAATCTTTTCAGAAAAGCAAGATTCATGATAACCCCTAAGTTCAGTTCATAAATCGCACTATTTATCAGGCCATGTGTATTGGCTTGTCAGGACTCCTTCTGTTGCAAAAAAAGTCAACTCGAAGTGACTGAAGTCACCAGGTACCATGGCTCACACCTGTAATTCCAGCTACTTGGGAGGCTGAAGTGGGAGGATCACTTGAGCCCAGGAGTTTGAGGCTGCAAGTAAGCCATGAGGCTGCAATGAGCCTGGGCAACAGAGCAAGCCCTTGACTCAAAAAAATACAAAAAGTGATTGAAGTCAAACAGAGAACTTTTTTCCCCACATAACTGAAAAGCACAGGAGGTAGTTCTTATTTCAGACATAGCTGGATGTTGGAGCTCAAACGGTGGTGCCAGGACATACCTGTGCTCTCTCTGCTGGCCTATCACTGTGCTGTGCTCTCCGTGTTGGTCTCCTTTGCAGTTCGGCCCTAAAAGGTGGCAGAATGGTCATTGGCATCCCAGACTCACATGCTTGTAGTTTACATACCCCAGGAGAATGAGGGTTTTCTTTCCTAGTTGTTTGTGCAAAAAGGAGTACAAACTTATCGTCCAGGCTTGGACTGCTTGCCCATCTCTAAATCAACCATCACGGCTGGGGGCGGATGGGGGGGTGGGTGGAATCTGCATCTAATGCCTATAGGTGGACCTAAGGCGTGAGGACAGTCCCACCCGACACATAGATAGGGACTGACATTGGAGAAGGAGTAGTTATTTAAAGAAAAATCAGCATGCTCTTAATGAAAAAAAAAAAAAAAAAAGAAGAAGGAGGGGGAATTCATGCCAAGAGGGAAGAAAGCAGATGTCCACTATCATTTTCTGTAGCGTAATTTAGGGTGTTTAGAGCTATCAAGGTCCTCAAAACTGGTAAGAAAAATGAAACCCAGCAAGATTAAAAGGCTTCTTTAGGCTGCAGGAAGGAAGCCTACCATATGCTTACCTGGCCGAAGAATTATTTTCCCCATGTGGGGAATCCTATGTGGGATCCTATGAGCTCCTACATAGGGACCCGGGAGCCATCACTAACTTCTCTGAGAATTGGGTGGTGGAGGGAGAACTAGCTATTCCTACTGCATGAGTCATTCTGATGGGGGCGGGACTCTCCCAGGATGAAGGTAGACAGTGGCGGTGGGCTACCCAAAATCTGTTTCCCACCCTCTTCTCCTGCTAGCCTCTCTCTACTATAGAGGCTCAAACAGTCACCCCTTAGCTTCATTGCAACTAGGAATGGTTGAGTGATATAGTCTATTTGGGGTCCCCTGGGAAGAATATTTCACTTTTTGAAAAGAGAAAAGGCCAAAGAGGAAGCTTCTACCCTATCCTTTTCCCTATTGCCTGCCCTTGAACACAACTGTGTGAGGGTGATACCTGAACACAACTGTGTGAGAGAGGGTGATAGTTGGAGCTGCTGCAGCCATTTTATGACCATGAGGGGAAGGCCAAGAGAATCACATCTCTGAGCTGCTGAACCAGCACATGTCACTGCCTACCATGACTTACCTGAGAAAAGTAGTCCTTCTAGTTAAGACAAGTCAGTAGGATGTTCTGTTAGTTGAAGACAAAAGCAATCTTATACAGAAGAACAGGGAAGAAGTTGATCTCCACAGTAAGAAGTGGTGTGGACTTAAAAGTGATTAAGTTTTTAGGCAAATAAATAAGTTAAATAAGTAAATAAATAAAATTATTTATTTGCAGTTTTCATACAACCTTCCTAGACAGTTCACAATGATAAAATCATATTGAATGCTAATGCCTATTTCTCTCTAACCACTGTGGTCTTATTTTACTTCTTAGCATGTATCACTTTGTATAACAGTTGTTTTCTCATCCAATTTCCACCACCTCTAGAATGTTGCAAGGATTTGAGCCGATTTGTTTTCTTCTAAACCTAGTACCTTAGAGGTGCCTCACACATAGAATAGAATTCATAACTATTTGTTGACTAAGATGTTGCCCAGGGTCCTCTTACAATATCCTCATTTTGCCAGAGATGAAACCCATCAGAGAGTTAAGTGATTTGTCCTAATTTCTATTCTAGTCTAGAAGCAAGAACTCCTTGTCAAAAATCAAAGCATATTAAAAAGTCCTTTCTCCCTCACCTCTCTTGACCTCTCACTCACTCTCTCTCCACCTCTCTCTCTCTCAGTGGCAAGCAAAGTCAGGACAAACACCAGTGAAATCATTTTCAGTAGCAGTTTCTTTCAGGGAACATTTCATCATTTCTTTAATTTAATTATACACCATACCATTCACAGAACATTATTAGGTACTGCCAAACTATGATAATTAGGGAGGTGATCCACACATTTTGCACAATTTTAGGAATCATAAACTTAGATTCATTTTATAGCAAAAGAACCAATCCTCAAACAAACATGCACACAAACAAAAAATAGGGTTCAAGTAATTTTTATATTAATATACATTTTTTTTTTAACTTTCCGTTCTTCACAGACATTAAAGATGTGATCATTTGGGGTAATATCAGTGGAAATAATTACGTTGATCTGAGAAAAACAAGGGTGTACAGATATGAGAGTGCCATTTGGGGACCTCTTCATTATTCACGCCCTCTTTTAAACTTGATTTTTGACAGGTACGGGATATTTTTAAGTGACGCATACTGACAGTGTTAAAATAAATGTTTAATGGTTGTAATCTTTTAAATCATCTTATAAATCTTCGTACAAAAATAACTTGCATTGTTCACACTCGTATTTGTTCATGCTGTCTACTACAGAAACAGAAAATTCCACAGAATATCAACTAGGTAATTGATTTGATTTTGAAATTATGAATTATTATATTTCAGATCCTTCAGTAGCTCATATATTCAAGTAAGGTTATCTCTAAAGCAAGCGTGTATAAGGGAATCTTACTAAGTGTAAAGACGGAGCTATCTCTCCAGGTTGAAATTAATTGAAATGTTTTCAAGCAAGGAATTAAGATGATGAGCAGGCACAGGCCAGGCTGGGCATTGTGTGGCAGGAGGCTGAAGCAAGAGGTTGTGAGGAACACGGTCCCAGGACCAAGCCACCCAGGCTGGGATTCTCACCTAGCCACTTAGTAGCCGTGTGACTTTAGAGAAGCTGCTTAGCCTCTCTATGACTCAGTTTTCATCTGCAAAGTGGAAATGGTAACATAATAAGGGCCCTCCCTATAGGGTCTTGGGGAAGATGAAATGGATTACTCCCAATAAAGGACTTAGAGCTGTGTCTGCATGATAAGCCCTAGCAATTATGATGAGGCAGAGGAGAAGCGGGAAGGAGCACCTCTGAAGCATTTTTTCTAAACTTTGCAGCACTTTCCCAGTGGTAGCATTTTATTTCCATTGCCTGTTGCTTTCCTTTTCTTCCTCAGACCATAGGAACTTCACCCCTGCCTAGGGAGGATGTGTCCGAAGTTCGCTATTTTGAAGGGTGATTCCTCTGCATTTGCTGCCGGGGCAGGACCAGTGTTGTATAGAGCTGTGTCGTGCAGGGTTAGCAGAGACTGACCAGCTGGACTATTCTCTGAATTTAGACTTCAGATCATAAAAATATAATTATTTTCCTAATTCTCAACGTGAATCCAGCTTGAGCACCCCAATCCAAAAATCAGAAATCTGATCTGAAATGCACCAAAAACTAAAACTTTTTGAGCACCAACATGATGCCACTAGTTGGAAAATTCTACACTCAGCACCTTTGCTTTCTGGTCGTTTAATTTACACAATCTTTGCTTTGTGCACAAAATTATTAAATACGTTGTATAAAATTACCTTCAGGCTATGTGTATAAGGTATATGTGAAACATAAATGAACTTTGTGTTTAGACCTGAGGTCCATTCCCATGATATTTCATTGTGTGTTTGCAAATATTCCAAAATCTGAAACACTGTGGTCCTAAGCATTTAGGCTAAGGGATACTCACCCTGTAATTCAATGTTTTATGAAATTATTTTGTTTAATGTGTAGGGTACTACTGGTTCCAAGGTAGTGTCTACACAGGATCAATTCTTTGTAATGAAAATAATGGTTCTTGCCATTTTTAGCCACATTTCTGTGTTCCATATTTATAGTATCATATTTTTAGTTTGACATCTTGGGACTCCTTTCTACTACCTTTCACTATTTTTCAATTGACTTTTTTATGGGGATTGAAGACACTTGAGGAAAGACACTAGAAATAAAGTCATATTTCTATTTTGACTGTGTATTAGGTTTCTGATACTTAGTTCCATTGAGCCAGGGAATACTCTTTTTCACTTTAATTCCTCTCTCCGTTGTAAAATTGTTTCTTTCTCTCCTTACAGTCAGTGGATAAAAAGAGAATTTGTGGCAACTCTTAAAAACTTGACTGCCACAGGAAGACAATTTGGAGGCATTTTGGCTGCACACAGTATAGCCACTACATTGAAATACTGGTATCATGGCTCACCGCCTGGGGAGATTGTATCTTTAGGAATATTGAGTGAAGGTAAATCTGGGTTTTTCGTGTCTTGTAAAATCTTAAAACCTATGTCTATGCCTTGTGCTCCTAATTCTGTGTCCCCACCCATCTAGCTCTTAACGTGGTCCATAAGCTGCCTGGACTTTTACAATTTCATAATAATTCATTCATTCAATTATTCATTCAGAAAGTCAACAATATTTTGTATGAATGCATTGGAAATACACATAGGAGTTAAGAATGTGGCCTCTGCCTTCAGGAAACCTACGGTGGAATAAACAAGAGCCAGATACATAAACAAAATCTGTTGTTAGGTTTTCCTAGCAAGAGATAAGGGGACAGCAAGTTCTATTCTAGGCAGGAAGCAGGGGGAACCAGTACAGGCTTCATAAAGAAAGCGACACTCCAGTAAGCCTAAAGTATGAGGAGTGTTGACCTGGAAGACAAGTGTGGAAAGAACGCTGGGCACAGGGAGCCATAGGAGCACAGACACAAAGGCAGGAGAGGTACACTTAAGGACCCAGATCTCAGGGTACCAGGCAACACTGGTGATGTGGAAAGGTTGCTCTCCATCCACAAATACTGCATATAAACTTTTACCGCCCTAATGTTTTAATCTGCTAAAAACTATGCAGAAGACTTCTACATTTTTGTTTGTTTGCTTGACATGGAGTCTTGCTGTGACACTCAGGCTGGAGTGCAATGGCGCCATCTCAGCTCACTGCAACCCCCGCCTTCCGGGTTCAAGTGATTCTCCTGCCCCAGCCTCCTGGGTAGCTGGGACCACAGGCGCACGCCTATACCCAGCTAATTTTTGTATTTTTAGTAGAGACGGGGTTTCACCATGTTGGCCAGAATGGTCTCAATCTCTTGACCTTGTGATCTGCCTGCTTCGGTTTCCCAAAGTGCTGGGATCACAGGCGTGAGCCACCACGCCTGGCTGACTTCTACCATTTTTACACAACAGGAAAGAGAGTAGCTGCTGTTCTGTCATCTGTAAGGTCTATCTTAAGCATCTCTTCCCTTTGGGTTCTACTTTCTCCCTTAGCAAGCTTGTCCACTCCCAGAGCTGCAGACCCGGGCCTCTCTGCCTCTAGCTTCTGAAACATTGTCACCTGGATGTCATGTTGTCACTTCCATCCAACATATACCAAACTGTATGTACTGTCTTCCTTCCCAATTGGTTCCATCTCTTGTATTCTTTATGTTATAAGTAGAACCATGATCTTCCCTATTGTTTCAGTGACACCAGTGCAGGTTAAGGAAATCTCCCCAAATCCCTCATGTCAGAATGAATCTCTGTCTCTCCTCTATCCCCACATAGCATTTTGTTCCCCTGTCACAGAGAATATTATAGTCTGCCTGTTTTTGATAGTGTGATTAGTTGCATATGTCCCCTTCATTGTGGCACCCTGAGGGCAAAGGCTTTTTCTGGGCCACCTCTTTGCCTCTTCACGGGAGAAGTATTTTATATCCAGACACTCAGTGAATCTTGTTCAACTGAAGTTAAGGTGCATGAACATTGCCATAGTGTGAATTCAGATCAGCAAATTATCTCCTTAGGGAAACAGGCATTTAAAACCTTACCTTTATTTGTAGAAAGAAAGTTTAATTAATCTCTGTAGGAATTATATTCAGAAATAAACAATGCAGTACTTGGGGGAGAGGGGTAGATGATTGTTGTCTGTCTCTGTGAAACCATACCAAACAGGTAAACCCTCAGACCTTGTCTGCCCATAAGGCTAGCTCTTCACACATTAAACAAAATACAGCATTACTTGAGGACCTGGGAAGCCCTCTAAGGAAAAGTCTTTTGGATCTCGGTTTCTTGAATGTCCTCAATGTTTTTTGTTGTTGTTGTTGCTTTTTTGTTTGTTTGTTTTTTGCCCTGGTGACATTTTTGTTGTTTAGAATGGCAGAAATAATTTTCTTATGTGATTGAGGCACCAGAAACAGGGACAGTTTTGTCTGAATGGTGCTCAGTTAGTAATACATACGGTCAATCTTTTTTATTTAGAGCACAGCCAAATATAAGTATTTCTGTATATCTTAAAGAAATTAAATGTGTTATTAAATGAAGGATGGCTTCTGCTTAAGATGTAGAAACATGTAAAGGAAATCATCCCACATGAAGCAAACACACACCAAAACACATGGCAAACTGGAGGCTGCAAAGGAATAACCAAATTTCCTGCCTCCCCTCCTTTCCCTTCCCAGTTCCTCATACTCTGGCTGTGTGAGTGCCATAGCAGGCGAGAAGAGTGGAAGGCCAGATGGACAAATGACTTAGGCTCATGGGCTGCATAGGGGTCCACAGAAAAGCCATGCAGACAGACAAAAAGAATACAGACAGGGTTCAAACGAGAAAGACTGCACTAGCCTCTGGATGAGAGAGAAATACAGATGGCAGAATTGTTAGAACTTAGATTGTTGCTTAGTCAATCCTAGAGGGAGTGTTTCTGTCCTCCTTGGAGAAGAACTCCCAGAAATTTAATTCCATCATTATCATTAAAAATCCTGTATTATGTTTGTCCTTTTCTACAGTGCTTAACAGAAAAGGTGCATGTTTCTAAGTTCTGCGGTGTTGCTTTGCTTTGTGTTTGCTCTGCTTTGTGTTTGCTCACTGCAGGCCAGTTTGGTATTCCCAAAGGGATCGTCTTTTCTATGCCTGTGAAATTTGAGAATGGAACTTGGGTGGTTCTTACGGATCTCAAAGATATTGAAATAAGTGAACAAATAATGACCAGAATGACAAGTGATCTAATTCAGGTAATGTCAGAATAGATGCAAGGGGACTGACCTTGATAATGATCTTAAACTGATTCCCCTAGGCCAAGGCATATATTGGTTTTTCTATGGATTCAAATTTTTTTTTAATTCCTAAAAGTAATGAGATAATAAAAGTGTGAAAAACATCAGTGAAAGAACATTACTCATTTGGTTATACAATTTCTGGTATGTTAAAAATATTTGTTCGTTATTTAAAAATGAAGAATCAAAGTGTTTTTCTATTAAAGAATAGTTAAGTTGCCAGATGCAGTGGCTCACACCTGTAATACTTTGGGAGGCCGAGGTGGGTGCATCACCTGAGGTCGGGAGTTTGAGACCAGCCTGACCAACATGGAGAAACCTTGTCTCTATTAAAAATACAAAAATTAGGCGGGCATGGTGGTGCAGGCCTGTAATCCCAGCTACTTGGGAGGCTGAGGCGGGAGAATCACTTGAACCCAGAAGGCAGAGGTTGCAGTGAGCCAAGATTACACCACTGCACTCCAGCCTGGGCAACAAGAGCAAAACTCCATCTAAAAAAAAAAAGAATAATTAAGTTAGGAATTGTGGTCATTTATTCTGTGAATTATAAATTTTTTCCAGGAAGAAACTTGTTGCACTGGAGACAGATCAATTTCATGCATACCATCGAGTACTCCTAATAGATGTGACGTTTTATTGGACATGCTATTAATAAGAGTATTAACATATTTATTATAACTGAATCACTGTTTAATATGAATAACTCACATTTGTATTTTTAATCTTTCTAACTAAATTTCATGACAAAAAAACTGTTATAGTTCAATGTAATTCCTTTGAAATAAAATCATCTCATAAAATGTTAAAGAAAACACAACTTAAGACACTATGATCTTATTAAATGTTGTAGGTATCAATATTTATTAACTTTTCCCTAGGACTACCATAACAAATTACCACAATTAATGGCTTAAAAACCAAACAGAAAATTTACCTTTTCACAGCTCAAGGAGAATTAGAATGAACCTGATGTTGAAGGTATTGCAGGGCCCCACACTTCTCTCTGAAGGCTCCAGAAAGAAATTCTTTCTTGCTTTTTTTCTAGCTTTGGGCTTGCAGTGATTACATTCTTGGCTCATTGCTGGCATCACTCCAACCTTGCTTCTCTCTTCACATGTCTGTCTTTCCTCTGTATTATGGCTATGTTTCCAACAATCTCTCTCTCTTTATAAAGGATACCAGTCCATATTGCATTCAGTACCCACCTAAAACCAGTAATGATCCCATCTTAAATTGATTATGTCCGCCAAAACTCCTATTTCCCTATAGAATCCACATTCAAGGTACCCAGGCCATTAGGAGTCAACTATATCTTTTTTTTTTTTTGAGACAGAGTCTCATTCTGTTCCAGGCTGCAGTGGTGCTCATCTCAGCTCACTACAACTCATGCCCTCCCGGGTTCAAGCGAATGCTCCTGTCTTAGCCTCCTGAGTAAGCTGGAACTACAAGGTGCACACCACCCATGCCTGGCTAATTTTTGTATTTTTAGTAGAGACGGGTTTCACTATATTTTGGCCAGGCCTGGTCTTGAACTCCTGACCTATGATCCACCTACCTCCGGTCCCCCAAAGTACTGGGATTACAGGCATGGAGTCCACCACGCCTGGCCACTCGAACATATCTTTTTTGGAAACACAATTCACCACATACAACAGCTCAGATTATTTTTAGATACTTTAATTAAAAGCCAACAAAGTTCAAATAAGCTATAATTCTTTATTGGTATTTATCCTCACTCTGAGAAATAAGGGAGGGCCTGACATCTTTTTCCCTTTGCCTTAAAGATGATCTCATCTTGGTAATGGTTATATAGCATCTAGAAAATAAAGCAATTATATTTAATGCAAAGGGCCTTTAGTCAAGTGTCTTTTTTGGAGCCCCAAACATTCCCTTCCTCTCTGCTAATGTGTGTGCAGTTCACCCAACTATAAGCTTAGTGCCTAGGAGCTTAGAAATACAGAGGTGAA